CTCTTTTTGTTTTCCTCAGTTCTTGTGGGACTCTCTAGTCTTCCTTTAGATGTTTCAGATATGGGCATTTCTTACCTCATACCTCAGTGTTGGGGGTGGGGGGGGTAGTTTCCTGGGTGAAATAAGCTTACAATATTTATCTATACTTAATCCATTCTCAGTTAGCAGGTAACCATAGAATTGTTTATCTCATTGTATTAACCTCTTGCATCTGGAAAAGTCCACTAACTGATATATTCCTAAAAATTAGGCAATGTGTAGCCATATACATCACGTTTATTAAGCCTTTATTGCACCTATTGTACTGATGTATGCTTACTTTGCCTGGCTTGTATATCTAAACATGTCTCAATAAAAAATTAAATTACCAAAAAAAAGTCTTTACTGGGGAAGAAGGGAAGTGTTTGCTGATGCAAAATTTTGTTTGTTTGCCTACAGATCGGCAGTTATTGCAAACCGAGATTTCATATACAACCAAAGAAAATATGCAAATCAACTTTGGGGGCATATATCAAATTATTGTTTTTCATAGAAAAAAAAATGCTTTATCAATATCGTTTTACAGCACACCAGTCCTGGTACTTACTGAAAACAACAAAGTGGCGTTATGAATAAGCACATTTTATTTGTTTTTGTAATATATCAAATAAATTATTCCTGTACATAAAATATTAAAACTTGGTTTAGTAATTTAGACTTCAGTAGAACACCCAGTTTAAGCAAAATGTGACATGGCTAAAGATATAAAATAAATATTTATTTCTGTTATATAACCATTACTTTTGTGCACAGTAAATAAAATATCTTGAGAAAAACTCGTTTTGGTTCCACATTTTTTCAACCCTTTCACCTAAAATACTTAAATCTGACATCCTAACATGTTTCTGCTTTCACTACATAAAGCACCTTTCCACATTACAACTTTGTTAAAAGTGACATTAATTAAAATTCTCAATAAAATGAAGGAAAAAACAAAAAAACAAGTGTATATTATCCCATGAGCATCAACACACTGAGTCGGTGAGCTGTTTTGCGAATTCACTGGGATACTAAACATGTAGCCTAATAAATTCCGAGAGCTCATCTTAGTGTATAACCCCGAGTTTTAGTGTTCTGTTTCCACCTTATAATTTGTCTGGAGTGGTACAGATAGCTTTTCCAAAGATGCCATACATACCAACATATAGGCTGCTTGAATACAGTCATAAGTCTATAACACAATTGCAAATACACGTGTACTACATGAAGAATGTACAGCAGTCAGAGCTCCATTTATTTTTTTAAACATTTAAGGGACACTATATATTTACCAGAGTCACTGCAGCTCAATGTAGTAGTTCTGGTGTCTGTATTATGTCCCTGGAGGCATTCCAATGTAAAACACTGCCTTTTCAGAGAAACGTGTCTATTAACACCTCTAGGTGCAGTCACTCAGACGGCCACTTGGCCTGCTTCATAGTCCAGTGCTGCCGTTCAGAGTCTTCAAGCCAAGCATGGAGGCATTGAACACTCACCATAGAGATGCCTTGATTCAATGCATCTCTATGAGGAGATTATGATTGGTGCAGTGTGTGTTTTGAAGAGCATACGCAATAGCCTCCCAATGCTTTCCTACAGGAAAGCATTGGATTGGCGGAGATCAAAATTGATAACTCAGCCAGTGAGGAGTCAGTCGCGGCAAGACCTGCACAGCGTAAAAAATAAAATAAAAGGTAAACATACCTTTCCCATGCGATCGCAGGAGGACCAGTCACCTAACTAGTTTAACACTATACTGTCAGGAATACTATAGTGTTCCTTTCAATGTAACACTGTTTGCAGAAAAGAACCAGATTAATCATTCCTCTTTTTTTAGTTTTCTTCACAGATGTTTTTCCAACAGTTTCTAAACCCAATATTCGAATGCAGGTTTATGTTGCCCATTCCAAAAGCTAATCCCTTCAGGACCGAGAAAATCTTGTGATATTTGAATTAAATGTAACATCACTGGTCTTGATAAGTTTGAAAAAAACAAAACAAAAAACAATTTTTTTTTGCATAGGATGAAATGTCAAATATGTCACTAGTGGTACCTGAAACCAGACTGTCAGGGGGTATTCACAAAACCGTGAATTGGCAGTAAGTCACTAGGAAATTGAAGATTTAAAAAAGCACTCCAGCCTAAAATGTATGTTATGGGCTCTTGAGGTCCTGGATGCCATCTTACCTTATGAGGTTGAAGTGTAACAGTTTAACCTCCCTGTGCCTGTCTGCTTTGACCCTTTGGGTCCTCAACTGGCACCAGAAATGAATATTTTTCTGCAGGAGCCAGTGACAAGTTTCCGATCTATGCTAAAAAAATAATAATAAAAATCTTCTTTACTAGTGCTGGAAAGTACAAAACGGAGCAAACACGCTTGGAGGACAACCTATGGGTTAAGTTAAACTATCCAAAAATAATATAACCACATAAGAAAACATGATGCCCAGAACTTTAAGACACCAAACAGGAATTTAATGGCATAATGTTGTTACGGGAGCTGGTATGTTACTTTAAGGCCAAAATGACTGTGCTGGAAATATAGCTGACTTAGAGAATGTTTCCAGTTCAGCAATTTTTGCCTAAACTTTACGATTTCCAGGTGATTTCACAGTTTAGTGAATAACCATGTGTTTACATTTGACACACGTTCTGTTCAGATGTTCTTAATAAATAAAGCCTTTGGTACTTTTTTACTGGTCCAAGAAAAAAATACATGATTGAGAATGTATTGTGTAACACTACGTGCAGATGACTTTTCTATATGGTGGAGGAGAGTAGTGCATTCTTTTAGGGTAAGTAACGTTCACTTCTAAACAAGGTTCTCGGCAGTTGACAGCAGCTCTGGCTTCAGCGCACTCTCTGGCCCATGTCCTACAGCTGCCTTAACATCAGTCATGACAGCTACATCCCAGCGGAAGATTAACAGGGCAGATGGAACCAAACCGCTCTCATTGAATGCAGCCTCCTCGGTTTCCAACTTCTGGCCTCCAGGGGCTATCAGCTCAAATGGCAGCCAATCGTTCTGAAGGTGCTGCCGGACAAAGTCAAATAGTGTAGAAACACGTTCCCGAGCATAAAACATGCCTTGCAAAATGTAGCCATCTGGAAATTTAATTCTTAGCACGGTGTAATTGTATTTCTTCATTTCACGTTGCTCATCCTTCTCTCGCATCGCTTTGGTTCTTAACATTGCATTTCGCTCAAGAGCCTCAGTCCTTAATTTCTGCTCCCGTTTAATCTCATCAGCTGTCAGGTTGTAGAAGTCATCAGGGAGATCAAAGTGTGCAGCCTGGATTGACGGTGTGAAGACCCGTGGTTGGCGTTCCAAAGTGGCCCTTAGTGGCTCTCCGCTGCTTAGAGAATCTCTGTAAGTTTGAAGCAAATCCAGCTTTTCCAGCGCCTCACTGCTCAAAATGAAGAATTCGTCTTGGGTCTCTTGTCCAGGCAAAGGCTGAGTCTTCCTCTCAAACCCAACAGCTTCAAAGAATTCATGAGCTCCTTCCAAGTGACTTATCTTCTCCTGGAACACTTTGTTAGACATTCTGATGGAGCGATACTTCTCTTCCTCAGGGTGACCAACGATGTTATCAAGGTACTTGGTCATTATTTCTACTCCCACCTTGACCTTTTCTCTATCTTTGTTAAACGTGTGAATCTTCATGATGGAGGCAGATGCTGGATCACTGACAGACAACGCTTGGATGAGCTCTGTGATGTGCTTCTCTCTCTCATCTTTCTTCAACAGGTCACCAGTCAGTGGGCATTTAAACAGGATGTTACAAATGTCAGATGCAGTTTTACTTTTTTTCTCAGTGTTGCTTTTGATGCATTCTGCCCCCTCACTCACCTGAGCTGCCTCCAGCTCTTTCCTCACCTGAGCCCTGATGGGGTCCTTGGCTGGTGCCTTGGCCCTGCCCTGTGACTCTATCCTGGCCATGGCTGCTGAGGCTGCTGCTAGCTGAGCCTCCCCAGTGGGAGGACTCCTTGGTTTTGGAGGTACATTGCTAGCCTTTGGGGCTTCTGCCTTGCTCTCCTCGGTCAGTTTATGCCCTGGCCCCGCGGCCTTGAATTTAATGTCACTCTTTAAACCCTGGAATAATTTCTTCATTTCTGCGTACTGTCACTCCAAGCAGCCGCCTGCCGACCTGTCACGCACTGTAATAACAACATCCGGAGCCTGGCAGCTGAAGACCGGAAGTGCACCCATGCCCTGTGCGTGACGTCATTTTAAGGCGCCGGAAAACGAACAATCATTGTTTATGTCCCCACTCATTGCTTCCTGATAGCCCACCAGGTCTTTGTTGAGACTTGTATCGCACTGTGACTGGCTTCGGGATGCTATAACATGTTACAACTATTTAAGTTGCTGAATTTTCAAAATGATACAATTGTAGCTAAACCAGGAAATAAACTGGGCTTCCAGTGATACTCAGCCAGCCTACTTGCTGTGTGGGTGTAAATAAATCACCACCAACATTCACTTTACCTCGTGCACTAGTCCATAAAGTTACTGCTTACATAAACCTGAGTTAGGTACAGATCATTGAGATCTATCACAGTATATGCCCATACACTGCATAGACCTGTCATAGTGCCAGTGTACTCAGTGTGGTAGGTTATACACTATAGCAGGGGTCCTCAAACTGTGGCCCTCCAGATGTTGCTGAACTACAACTCCCATGATTCTTTGAATTACATAGCCAGATAATCATGGGAGTTGTAGTTCAGCAACATCTGGAGGGCCGGAGTTTGAGGACCCCTGCACTATAGCAACTAATGACTGTTTTATGAGGTTAACCCATTCACCTGGGACATTCATGCTTTTCAAATGGGTGTGAGGCTGGATGTCCCAATTAAAACCATAGCCAGGTTATTAGCACCTCCTAAATTAAAATTTGTAACAAAAAAACCTATGCTGATCTTTAGACCCCCTTAACAAAAATAGAATAAAAAGATAGCTATTTTGGCAGATATTTGATATTTGTTAGGTCAGGTATAATTGGATAGTTGGTTTGTTAGATCTCTCATAATTACACATATATTAATGAAATTAACCCCACATGAAATTTTCAGGTGAAAAAAATATTCAGTCTGATAGATCTTTTATATTAGTAATTATGTGACACATTTCTGTAATTATGTGAGAACTAACGTAGAAACCACTTAATCTAACAGACTAATGTAATCTTTCATGTGGAGGGCCATTTTTCCCTAATTAAATACCTAATTTCTCTATAATTATAAAAGATTTAATGGACAAACTATGACCATACCTGATCTGACGAATATATTTAAGAAAATAGCTAGCTTTTTGTCCAAATGTTTATTAAGGGGAGTTGATGACATGTTAGCTCCCTCTCAGGGATGCTGGATGGCCGGTCCAGATCCCCAATCATCCCCGCAGGGATACCCGGAGGAGGAGGTAAGCGAGCTCCATAAAACTTTTGAACCCCTGCTCTGATCTGGGTGATTTTGGGATATGTAGCTCACCCAGATCAGGGCTATCCCGGGATGTAGGATTTGTGGGTATATGGTGTTGTTTTGCGGTGTTTCTGGACTTTGGGTAAAACTTGGGGTGTTTCTGGACTTTGTGTCCTGTGCTTCACAAGGTCTATGTGGGTGGTAACCTTGTGGGGAAAACTGTATATAAGAAATGCCTTTGTGCTCATTAAACCAGTTCTACTTCACCCTCAATTTAGAGTCCTGTCTCTTATTGGGGGAAACAGCTACAAGGGATTGCTATGCTCTTCATACTCCCTTGGATAATCACTAAGCTCTTTTAAGAGCTTGTTCCTGCTTCACTCTCTGGGGAAAGAGAGGTTCACCCACTGGAACCTGGAGCCTTGTCGTAGGTCCAGGGTGGGTAGGAGATGGCGAGACCCGAACCAAGCTGCGGCGGTTCGTGGTCATCTGCGGTGGTTATGGTCTCTGGTGGAGTGCTTGGAGCCCTCAGGAAGCACTAGGAGCATTCTTCGATGGAGGTACCCAGTCGGGGTGCCAGGGGATCCGTTACAATAAGTACTTGAAAAAATGAAAGTGAGTAGGATGTTCTCTCTGTCAGAGTGTAATCCACTTCACAAGGGGAAAGAGGACCCACTACAACTTATTGTCAGTCTCGTGGTGCTTGATGAATATAACTTGCCTCTTCCTACTAATAGACTAAAATGACATGAGGCATTTTGTGCCCTGACCCAGGGATTTGAAATGTCTGGTGTAAATGAACTTACCTTGCACAGATTGACCTATGGAGTAGAGATGTGTTATAGTTGGATACTTTTCATTCAGATTTCTCAGTGTGGCTTCCAGCTCCTTCTCGGTGTGGTATTTAAAAGGCAGATTTGTATTCTTTGTACATAGAGTGGGCAGTAGGACGTTTAAAACCAGAGCATAAGATATCAAAGATACCATTGTAGAAGAAGCAGATCTTAGACCCAAGAGAGATTACCTGCAAAGTGTGAAGGGGGTTAATAAAAATCAAATTAATTCCAATAATCAGAGGATATTCTGTTATATAGTGTGGGCATGTCAACATTCCAATTGACTTAAAACTATATTAATATTATTGTGGTGGGATATCATGGAAGGTTAAGCTGAAACAGCCCAATATTTTACTTTTATGACAGATTATTTTCCCGATAAATTACCTTGTAAAGCATTTGTATCTTAAAGTAACACTGCGAACCCGTAAAGCAGGGGTGCCGAAAGGTAGATCCCCAGATGCTGTAAAACTAAAACTCCCATGATGCTTTGAATGCCTTTAGAATACCAAGGCATCATGAGAGCTATAGTTCTTCAACATCTGGGCATCCACCTTTTGGGCACCACTACCGTAAAGCATTTCAGCTTGCTGATGTGCTGTAGGGGTTAACAGAGTGTTCTCTCTTTCACACTTTATAAAAGAGCAGTTTTCAAGAGAAATTGGTACTTTTGTCAAGCGCTCAGCCGGGAGGGTGCTCTTCCTTATTACTTTTTGCCCCATGAGAAGCATTAGCGGCACAGTGTGTGGATTGCCGCACATGCACCCTGTCTCCCAATAATTTGCCAGTTATATTTATAGAAACAATCACTGATAAAGGGGGTAAGCCTATGCTTCCTTCTGCATAGGCATACAAGTACACTGAATGATAAAGAGGAAGTTAGATTTCCACAATATTACATTGTAAGTAGGTGGGCTTTTTTATACTGGGGAAGCTTTAGGGTTTGTTTCTTTTTAACTGTAGAAAACTATTTGACAATAAATATATAAACTATACCAATAAGTGTACTGCAGCTTAACCACTAAGATAAGAGGTTTGATTATGGTACTTGGAGTATACATTAAAAAAGTTATATATTATTTATTTTTTCTCACCCCTCCAGGTGTTATTTTGTGTATTTCACATTTCTGGGTCGTCTATCAGAGGCCTGGGACTCTATGCAGTATCTTAGCTGTTCCTAGAACTGGACTCTTCTAGACAGAGATCTCAGATGTCTTTATAAACTGTAGCATGCACCACCACTCCTTGAAATACAGAACTTATTTAAACAAGAAATTCTCCTAGCGCATAGAGCTTGGGATGTTTTCATGGCTTTCATGAAGGAGTGACAAAGACCCAAATGTCCCCTTGTCCATACACTGCAAAAATATATCTATTTAAATGATTTCTGGGTTTGAATGGGTGCTTCTGCAGTAATTTACAACAAACTATTTCTATTTTGGCCAGCAGAAATGTGCACCCTATTCCCGTGGTTAGTAAAAAAAAATTGTGGAAACCTTATTAAAATTCAAAGTCCTGACCTGAGCTCACATAACTCTATGGCTCCACTCTTGCCACAATACTCTTCAAAATGCCCTCTTTGTACTGGCAATGACTTACTCCACTCTTGTCTCATCACTTCCTGCCACTCCACAACTCCTGCCGTCCTGCTGATGCTCTGAAATTCTTTGCATTGCTTTTTAAGACACTCCCCCACATTCCACAACATTAAAACTCTGCAACACTCTGTAAAACTCCCCTATTTACAATGCTTACCCTTCCACTTTCCAAATGTTCCTAAATCTCACATCTGGTCTCCATCATGACCATCCCATCTCAATAGAAGTCTTTCTTCCCAATATGATCTTCCTTTCATGCAGCCCGCTCACCTTCTGTCCCTATCATAGCGAAGATCACACTCTGGTATTATCTACATCAATTCAGTAAACTCTGAATGGTAGTCACATGCTGGGAAAGCTGGCAACTTTTTGCCATGGGACAATGGGGTGGGGGCAAGTACAAATGAATGGCCTTTTCGCTTTAGCACACAAAACTCACAGATCACAGCGTGGATGGTCCTACTTATGGGGAATATGCAATATATAGGTTTATGGAGTTACGAGATGTGAAATCATATCATATATTTTCCTGCAACCTGCACAGTATGACCGAGCATTCACACAGATCATGACAACTTCACACTACTTCATTGCTACTAATAACAACCAGCATTTGTTACTGTGGTCCACTGAGAAATATCCCAGTGGGCCAGTCCAGGCCTATAGATTACTGAGATTCTGGCCATCAGCCTGTGCACAAACCCACACAGTGCTGGGCTAGCAAACTCCTGCCTACGGCATCCCTCCTAGGTAAATTATAGAATATTCCCTTTGTGCAATTTTAGGCTGAGTTGAAAAAATATGTTAAGGAAATATAATACTAATCAGATTAATCAACAAACCAGGATTTGTATTGAATTCACACAGAATTGGACATTTTAGGGACTAAACAGAAAAATTGGAAAAATTACAAATTCAGCTACTTTTCCAACTTGGCTATTTTGGTTTAAAATGTGCTATTGCTTTTCCTATTCACAATTCCTTAATTAAATAGCCTTGTCAGGATTTATTCAGTAAACAAATTCTCGGTTTACAGAATAACACTGCAGATATTCTGTCTATATAGGGATGGCAGATCCATGTTTACCTTAACATATATGTTATACAGCAACGCTATTGTGCATGTGCAGTACTTCAAAAGTAATTCCATAGTGATCTAGTCAGGGCTGGTCTAGGGGTGTAAGAAGGGGCGCCGCTATCCTGCAGTGATGGATTGCACATGATGCAGAACTGAGTTGCATGGGACACTTACCATCTCATGATGTAGGTTGCCATCCGCTGGCCTAGCCAGTATGTGCAGCTTTTGCATGCCCTCAAGGGGACAAGATGTGTGCACTGAGCCGCAGCA